GACAAGGGCGGCAGAATCGGTGAAGATACACCATAGAATCACGTCTGACTCTCCTCCAATAATCTCTCGAGTCTTGCATTTTCCTTCTCTATGATATCCAAATCAGCTTGGATGCGACTCAGCTGCTGTTCAAACTGTCTCTGCCTTTCGATCTCAATCTGAACAACTATACAGGTAAGGGAGAAATCAAGGAACTGGTAAGGGAACTTACCAAGTCAACCAACTGTTCGTTCTGACGTGACAAAGCCCCATTCTGTTCTATTGCTTCTACAGAAATCATACAAGTAGAATGCAACTTCCCAAAAAGTTTGTACGCACGTTCGCCTTTTGGATCATCAGTATCCTAGAACACCCGATTGAAGATGTGAAGATGTCGATATTAAATGCATTGCATCAAACTATGCAACTTAACGCGCTCTAATCAACACAACGGCGCATCCGCAGCAATCTCATTACTACTGAGTAAATCAGGATGACAGAAATTCATTTGGATGTAACTAATATTTGAACAATTTGGCTAGGTAGTAGTTAATGTTCTCCAAAATTAGAAGATATGAGAAAGAAGCATAACCGCGCAATTTGAAACAGGTTAAGGATAAAACAAAACTAAATTGGCAAACACTCTCCTCAAAAAACCCGCCAACATTAATAAAAGCATGAAGAGGGCGATTCTAGAGATAATATATAGACGTGATATGGAGATAAGTGTCTGATACCTTATATAATGCCTCCTCTATCAAATTAAAAGTTCGATGCAACGTTTGAGTTAACCATTTCAATTCTCGCTGCACACCCAGATTTTCGTGGATAACCTAAAACAAACAACATAAATTTGAAAGAGTTCTTCCTCTAGAAGGAAAACATATCACCGACCTTGTGTATTTCCTGGTCCTGCTTGTGGATACTCGCCGTCATTTCCATGATCCGACGAATCATCGAAGCACGATCAACGTCGGTTTTCTTCATCTGCTCGAGTCGAGACTCCTGATAAATGCAAGGATGATAGTATACTTTTAAACTAAAAAGCCTCACCTTTGGTGAAGCATTTCAGGTGAGCAAAAAGAAAAAACTCACCAATTTTCCAGCGAGAGTGTTATTTTGTTCAATGTCTTTTCTAATCTCTTCCAGCTTGCCACGATTTTTCATTATTTGTTCATTAGACAACAAACTCTATAATATGAGTTTTTGAGAAGCAAAAAAGCAAGAAGATGAAAAACGCACCTGCTGTGATTGCTGTTTCCGCAGTTCCTCTAAGTCTCGAAAAAGTTTCTCGCGAGACACCCTAAACTCTGCTTCCATTTTTTCTAATCGAGCATCACCATCTTTGATAAAGGCCTGAAATTAATCTCAAAAAAGACTAACTGACATGAATAGATAATGGTGTACAAAAGGAAGCGACAAAGCATTCTAGAGCTTTGATACTATAATATACTGACCAAAATTTTCGACTTCATCAGATCGGGATCCTCCAGAAACACCATGAGTTTCTCAGTATTCGGATCAAGATCTTCTTTGATTTTGGAGTTACTCTGCTGCAGATCCGCAATGCTATCTTCAATCTATAATATACTCTGAGATTCACCAAAACTATGGGCAGATAAAGTGCAGATGTGTTCATCGGGAAGACTACAACAAAAAATTAAATGCAAAAATATTTCTTAAATTTATTTAGGTTGTTCAAATTCACTTACTTGCGAAAGCATTTCCTGTTTTTCAGCAATACCTTGTAAAATCTCGGCCAAACGTGCTTCTAATGGATCGAGTTCAAGTTCAGTAGGTTTTTCTGTGGGAACTGGCTTTCCCAGTCCACTGGAAAGCAATTTTTGATAGTTTTCAAAACAACCACGGGTTACTTCCCGATCGCGTAATAATAACTGATAAGAAAAGTACTTCAAAGGATAAAATGTATTGCAATGACAAACCTTGGTTTGACAGGAACAGGTGGTTTTGGACGTGCCGCAGAAACAAGATTTGCAAATCCGGACTTTGATTGGTCCGCTACCAACGCCTCGTAGAGAAATCTACGAGAAAACAGCGCGAAAATGTCGGGTTCATTCTGAATTCAAAAATAGCTAAGC